AAAATACAGATTTGTTTCCATTTTTAAAAGAGACAGAGGCAACATATAGAGGCATAGTTCCTTTGAGCCAAGCATTAAATCTCAGCAGTGATGATTCTATGAGCAACTCTGCCAAAAAAGGCTTTTATTTCACTATTAAAAATATATATTTTTCACTATTAGTGACATCAAGACAAGTGTGTTTCAGTCCTTAAGAGCAGACTGATCCAAAAATAAACACAAACATTTTTCAAATACATTAAAGAAAACTCTTTCATTACTGGGTTTTTAGGCAAATCCCACTGAAATCTTCCAGTTTAAGTTTTTCAAACTACTATTTGCCAAAACAAATCCCATAAATCTGCCCTATTGTAGCCAAACAGATGGCCTTCTGTGAATGTCACATCCGTTACAAACATTAATCTTACTTTTATCCCATCACAGTGTTTACACAAACTACAACCGCAAAACAACCTTCTGAAATGACAAAACGTCACATAAATGACTGGTTACTTCAATCTGAGATGCAGACAAAGCAAACCTACAACAACAATATAAAGTGATTCCAGGTCTACCCACAACCAGCTGCTTAGGATTTAAAATGAAGCTGGGCGATTTAATGTGAAGAATAGAAAAACAGGGAACATTTGTTATTCTTGAAAAGGTCAAGATGAGTGGGAAGCTGCTTCAACAGCACAGTGGGATCTGGAATAAAGTCCCAAAACGAGTCCGACTGATAAACCACATCTGGTTGACACCAAAGTCAAAAAAAGTCAGACAGCAAAAAAGTAACCATGAATTTTCAAAAAAATGGTGATCAAAGCTTAGCAAAAGAAAAGAAATCATCCAAAAGGGTTGAAATGAAGACAACTGGACTAAGCTTCTCGGATGAGAAGTGAAACGTCTTCAAGAAACCAAAGAAGTCCAGTTGTCGTTATTTCAACCCTTTTGGATTATCATGACCTGATGACTGAGAACCTTGACCAGCACGTGTTCATTACTAGAAGAAATGAGACTTCTTCAGCAGATCCGACAAGCTGCTAATTTGATCTGTCAGATAAATAAGTTCACAGTAAGATAGATATGCTGTATGTTGCATCAAACTGCTGATGATTATGGCAGACAGTAATTACAGTCAGTAAGTGCATATTTTCTGCAGCCTCAGTTAATCATTTCTGCCTGAAAAACAGCTAAAATGTCTGACGCATGCAAGGATTAAACATCTTGTTTTCACGTTAAATGCAAAAATCAGAAGTGCTATTTGCACTTCAGCGATTGTTGAATCACTAGGAAATCTAAAAATCTAAAAATGGAGGCTCTAAATGAAAGAGAGCACTACTCGTAACTCCCCCTACAATCGATTCTCAACTGGTTTCCATAGTTACAGCAGAAGGGCCAGATCTATTTTCAAAATCAAGGAGCAAATAGTTCTGAATGAGCTCAACTGTACGTGTGTGACAGGGGATGGAGTAAGAATGCAAATGTGTAAAAGCTTTAGCAGGAGCAGGAAAGTCGGAACGTGAGTTGCTGTGCCTGCTTCAGAACCGGATTAGCTGCTTATCTACTCCAAAGGGCGCTGGTGTGCTCGGGAGGCAGAAGCAACAGCATCCCTGTGATCCTCCAGCCGAAATGAGTAAAGTTCCTTTGATATAATGCTAACAGTATTCAGGATATTAACTATTTTATAGGGGGTTTTACATGAAAATTACTTAAGAGTGGGAAGCCAGGATGCCACAAGGAAATGCACATCTGCAGCTGACTTTAAAGCCAGAGTTCAAATTAAAACAATTTTAATGAGAAATGACAGCGTTCCAGCTGTATTGGTTCACTTTGGTTTTTAGAGTTGATGCTTTAAGAAATTAACAACAAAAAATAAACCTCTGAAAAGGAGTAGGTAGAAGTAAAACATATATATTCTAACCCTCCTTTCACGTATTTATGTTTAATTCAAACAATACTTATACATGTGCATGCAGTGCCATCATGTAGTTTTTGGAAGATATGCTGCAAAAGACTTACACCAAACCAGACCAGAACGACCAGATGAAATTCCAGCTCAGAATGATGTGACTGGGTTATACACTCTGAGAAACTATATGTTGAATTTACTTAACCAAGTTAAATCAACTGGTTCCACTAGATCAATTATTTTGGGTCACGACCCACCCCGGGGAACATCAAAATTGTTTGCCCCTCCCCCCATCTGCAGCATCAGTGAAGCCCCAGCCACAAGCACAGTTGCCGATCACCTTGACCACAAGGGTAGAGGTTCTGGTAGTCGCTTGTTCACTATCATGTCTATGTCGAGTTAGAAAAGCAGGTTAGCATGCTAAGCTAGTTGCTCGCTAGCCACTGCTCTTATATTAATGGGGTTATTTATTTAGTTTTACCATGAATGGACTCATGCGCTTAGTCTTAACATTGTATGGCCCTAAAATGATTTATATTTACTGTGGAAATGCAGTCATTTTCCAACCTTTCATTTGAATGCTTATGTTGGCAACAGAGATCTGTTAGCTCATAAGCCCCACCAAGTATTTTCCTTATCAGGCACTACTGTATTTTTTCCCAACCAAATTCAAAGTAGATCCGAGGGCCATGTGGACTTCGTGGTATTCTGCCAGCTTTGTTGTTGCACTTGTTCCACAGTCTCCTCCTTCAGCTTGGCACTCCAGTCAGGGTATAGGGAGTTTAAGTCTCCTCCCGTTCCGGTCGACTCATGGGTCCCCAGAAGAACGGAAAAATGAATGCAAGTCAATGGGGCTAAAAACGCCATTTTCTACTCCGCTTTGCCTTACGCCCTGGATCGCACATATGTTGTACTGCAATTTAAATGAAAAGTAATGATGGGAGTTTCAATCACGTCAGTCATGTACTTTGAGATTTATCAGCTTGTAAAAATGTGTAATTAGTATGACTACAAACCAGAATTTGGCACGTCGCATATGTGATGTCACCACATAATCTCCTCTCCCCTAAGTGTCTGCTACTTAGCAAATGGCCAGATTTATGGTGGTTCTGTGGCAAGTTTGCTAAACTTACAGCCCTTTTCCATCAGTTTTCTCCATGTCTGGTTCGATTATGCCACTTTTGTGACGCGCATTTATAGTCCTGGACTTTTTTTCACACAAAACCTAAAATAGCGTTTCCCCCTGTTCGAAAATAAGCGTGTTCTTGGTATCAAAATGCTTTTTTAAAATTCACGGACATCATATGCGAAATCCATGGCACAAAACTATTAGAAAATAGCATTTTTAGCCCCATTGAATTGCATTAATCTTTTAATTCTTCCGGGGACCCATGGTGCGAAAGTAGATGGGCGTGACATAGGCTCCCTATAGGCTGCTTGTCCTGCTGGGTTAAAAAGGCAGCCTGTTGATTAGTCTGAGCACTCCTGCCACCTAGTGACTGGAGGTTGATTTATTTAAGTGTTGAAAAAGATGCTGCTAATAATGGATCCTCCTGCTTCTTGTGCCAGTGGGCTGTACCCCACTAATTGAGAAAAACTGCACTACACCTATTTGCTTAAATGTAAAAAGTAATATACACTGTTATACGTTCAGTAAATTCAACATTTCGTTTTTTTAGTGCATAATTTCTGTTACATTTGCCAGGTTTCATTGATCATGTTTTAGTCTACTTTTAGATGATGGAAAAGTGTGCCACTTCCTCTTCTTGCCCTTAACCCACATATTAAGAATGTGACCTGGCATGCAGGGCCTAGTGAGTGCTCCAGAGGCAGCTTAAATCCCTCCGCATGTGTAGCAGCGATAAAGCTGCTCCTCCGCTCCAGAGAGTCGTCCTTGATTCGTTTTATTCCTCTCTGAGTCTTACTCTAAGTTGTGAAAAGGAACAAGAGAAATATGCTCAAAGGAAAAAAGAAAAAAACAAAAGCAGTTAAGTTGAAAGTAGATAAATGAGTAACTGTTTGGGGCATTTATCCCTGCTGACTCTGGTTTTTGAGACATGCAGGCACTGGTACACCAGTCTTCAGCTGTGTAACCTGAAGACTTGTTTCCTCAGTAAAGAAAAATAAAAGAGTTTCCTTGTTGTCGTCAGCAAATTGTCACTTTGAGAAATCCTTTGAGAGTACGAAAAGAATACGTGACTGCTGACGGAAGCTTTTTTAGACCTGACAGGAAATATCCCAGAACCAAAGAGAAAAACAGCATCATGGCATCAAAAGTTTCATTTTATGACATTTTGCCCCAAAGTAACATTTTAAATGGCTCCATGGCATTGATTAATTTTAAATATTCAAATTAAGTCAGATGAAAAGCAACACTAAAGACATTAACTATTGCTTTGAATATGGACTTCAGTGGTTCTTCAGGCGTATATGGTGCAGATTCACATTGGACAGCCCAGAAACTGCACTTAACAGCTTTGTGGCTCAGGTACGAACACTAGTGGTAGGTGTCCACCTGCTTCACAACAACAGCTTTTTACTGTGCTCATACAAGCAGCGCTTTCAGTTTGCCAACTGTCAATAAAAAGCACAAGAAGAAGAGTAAAGGAAGACGTTTGCTTTCTGTTGGAAGAAAGTAATGTCTCTGGAGGCTAAGCAAATAACTAAAACCAAAGTGAATATTGGTGTGGTCTACACTAGTTTGAGGGAGCAGAAGGAAGCTACAAAATCATTGATGGTGACCTAGCATTGTTGCTAATACTTTTTGTGTCCAACAGTGTTGATCTTTTTACTTTGTTCACACCTAATTCTCACCTAATTCAGCGGTTGAATCACCTGTTCACCAGGCTTTTAAGCTCTGTAGAAGCCTTTTGATCAGCTAATGATTAGAATCAGGTGTGTTGGAACAGGGAAACAACTAAAACATGCCAATTGTGGCACTTGAGGGCCAGCACCCCAGTTCTATATCAAACATTTTAGAACAAAATTCAGATCGGCAGCACCTCCTAAAAAGGCCTCCATCATGTGATTTCCAAAAGGTCAAATTCCAAACCACCTTAGGGCGTCGGCTAGCTCTTGTCATGGTAACAGGAGTATAAACACATTTTCTTACCCATTAGCCAAGTTATCCTCATCATCTTGCAGGTTTTTTCCTTGGAGGTCGGTGTCACTCAGGTACCCGGACTTGAGGTCAGCATCGTCGAGACCTTCGATGAGCTCAATGCGGGAGGTGCTACTGAGGCGGCTGGAGCAGCGAGCTGGCATCGTCTGGGCTGTGTATTGTGAGGAGCTCTTACTGCCCTGGTACCCGCTGCCGGTGGAGGATGGAGCATCGCCGGCTTGAAGACGGGGACTGGACTGACCGTGACACCAGGACAAGGGTGAGGAGCGGTTTGACAGGCTGGATATGCTGCGAGCGTTGGTCTCATCGCTGTCATAGCCTACGTTACTGCTGTCTGCACAGCTGGAGAGACACAGCAAGACATTTGTCTTTGAGATGATCTTGACCCAGATTAATAAATTGTGTCAAATCATCCTCAGAGATTAAGGCCTTTCCTCTGACCTGATGAGTTTGTCTTGATATTCTAGAATACAATTAAAAGCTGCAGTTGCCTTGTTGTCAGGCTGTATGATGATGTTGTAGGTTTCTTTTTATGTTTTCATATGTGGGTTGAAAATGCCCACGAATGGCTGCAAGTGTCTTCTGTGTCTGTGGATTGCATAATAACGTGAACCAAGTCAACCAAGTAAATATTTCAAAGCCAACAAATGTGACTATTTTTATCCATTGTTCATGGATAATTCAGCAATACGAAGACATTTCTTTTCCTTTTCAGTGACTGGTACATATGCTTTTATTTTTAATGTCATTGTTGGAAGAGAAATGTGCAAAATTCAATAAGCAAATGTATATTTGAATTATTTTAAGAGTGCTGTGATGCCAGATACAAAGTTCTGATACACATGCCAGAATAAAGTGTGTATGAACAAATGATTTAACACTAAAAGGATTATTAGCTTGTGAAAAGTGCTTAGGATCTGTATAAAAGAAAACGGTCTTAGAACAGCAATAATAGTCTAACCAGACAAATGATCTGAAATAGCACATTTTTCAAATATTAATATTTTGTTGAATAATTTGTACATTTCTAATATGAAAGTATTGTGCAAAAGTAGCTCAGGAGGTTGAGCGGGTTGTCCAAAAATCGGAAGGTTGCTGTTGTGTCATCATCATAGCTCATCATCACCAGCGTGCATGCGTGTGTGTGTGTGTGTGTGTGTGTGTGTGTGTGTGTGTGTGTGTGTGTGTGTGTGTGTGTGTGTGTGTGTGTGTGTGTGTGTGTGTGTGTGTGAATGGATGAATGTCTGATTGTGTTGTGAAGGAACTTGGGGGAAGACACTATACAAACACAGGTCATATGCCACATTAAAATATGCCACATTAAAATATGCTGGCAAACACATAACTGTCTGGTTATGTTTGAAACAAGTTGCCCGTTAACAAATAAAGCAAATTGTTTAATTTTAAAATTGGATTTATGAAATTAGTCGAACCATTTGTTCATATTTAAAAGCTATTTCAGAAAGTCCAGTATATACTTTTTCTTTTCCTGCGTCTTTGCTGGATGTTGCTTGACCAATCAGTTATTTAGTAACTCATTCGTGTTTTTTATGGTACAAACAGAAGTTCAAAAACTTCAACAGTGCAAATGTACGGCTGCAAAATGTCAAGAATTTTAAATACAGATTTGACATTTACAGAAGACAGAAGTGGTTTCATTAAGCTCTTTTTCAAATAATTGGCAATAATAAGGACAACCATTCAGCATCACATTCCTTGTTTGAGGTTCTTAAGGTTCTCTAATGTAGCAAAGCTTTAAAAACACACAACACTGATCATTAAGTTATCTTTACATGAGAAACCAATCCATTCACATGCACCAGTGCTGGACAAAGCAGAAATTTGGTGAGAAACAGAATCAACATTCAGTCCCAGATTACATAACTCTGCAGTCACGGGTATCCAGCTGGTTCACCTGGGAAAATATGTTCATCTTCAGGGACGTTGTGCTGAAGGCTGCATGAGTTAGATCTAACCTCACGTTTAACTTATTTAAAAAAAAAACACTTAACAACTGTAATGTTTCACCAGAACCTTGGAACTGAAAACAACTCTTAACAAATCGTAGAAAAGCACATTTATTTTACCTGATCAGCATGGTTATGATGGGGTCAACATCCGGTCTAGTCATAAAATAAATGCATTTATTGTGTTTATTTCTCTCTCAGAGAGCCAAATGCTAAGTACTGGCTTTTATAACGAGCATTTTGAGAATAACAATTAAGGCTCTCAAACATTTCTACCAGAACCTGAAACAAAGATAAAGCTGAACACAGGCACAACTTAGCAGTTTTTAATTTAATGAATGTAAATACATGTTTAGGGTGGCTCAAGATTGTATTGGTTGAAGTAACTTTCTGTCACTAAATAAACCCAAAAAATCAGAGATTCCTGAAATGAAGGCATGGGCCGAATACAGAAAAGACTCTTTTAAAGGGAATGGGAGCCAGATGGGCACCAGGTGGCAGCTGTCCACACAGGATCACTACAACATGATTATGTTTTATATCATCCCAGAAAATCAAAGAACCACATTTACTGAGTTAATTTACCTTCAGCTTTATCTTTAGATGGCCGGTGCTTACCTGTGGCTGAGGTGGGAGCCTCGCAGGCTCGACATGGTGTCTTCCAGATTCTGGCGCAGGTCAAGAACATTCTGCACAGTCCGTTTCCTCTGGGACTCTGGGTCTGTGTCAAAATAAAGCTTGTTTAGAAGGTGTTGTTCAGGATTGTGGCTTGTTTTTAACCCATAATTGTGACTTGACCTCACATGCTTGTTTTCTCTTGGATTATTTGTGTTTGGACGGGTGTAGCAGCTGTTTTTGATACATGCAGACACCTTTATGTTCACTTCATTAGGCAGACTAAACTTCTCTTGATGGGTTGCCTCAGCATGCCAGACTATCCCCCCCCCCCCCCCCCCCCCCCCCCCAAAAAAAAAGTAAAATTTTGTCTGTAACTCAGCTCAGGGGGATCCCCACTGCTCCAGAATCTCTTTCAGATGCTTTATTTCCTCCTGGAGCCTTGTTTCATGACCTGCTGAGCACTTTCTATGAGTTGTCAGTTGTAAAACCATCACCAACATGAATCACAACCATTATGGACTATGCTGCATACAATGTGAAACACGCAGCTGCAGCATTATAGCCATGTCAAATCAATATTACAGTACAAATAGAGGTGGCGTTGTGTTAGCTGTAAGAAATAAAATATACATATAAAACTCAACAATGCACGGGGGTTCTCGCTGAAATGTTGATTAAAAAAAAAGAAAAAAGCCCAGGGCAGCAAAAAATAATCGTTCAACACATTCACTCAGAAGATAAAGACGTCATAGGACCACACGCAGTCTTCATGTTGTTAGTTCAGGGATATATTCAGAAAACATGAGTTATAGTAGAAATGTCACCTTGATACAAAACATTAACAGATTTGGAGAAATCAGTTTGTAAAGTATGGAAGTCCGGTGACTCGGAAAAAACACAACCTATATTTTGGAAAATCAAAGAAAGTTTGTTTTATTTGCTAAATTCAACCAACTGTTTTTCTACAATGATTAGCTTGACAACACGAGATCCTGACTTACAAGAATCTTGGTGTTTGCAGTTTTTTGCTCAGTGAGAACAGCTTGAGACTCTTCAACGACACAGAAATATTAGTAAACCCATTAATTGTTAGAGTGCATCTTCAATATTTAAGCAAAAATCAAGCAATGATTGCTAAGAGCTCTTTGGTTATGACGCAGTTTAAACCCTGAATTCCTTCTTGAAGTTGTCATTGGCTTCAAATGATAAAATGAGTCAAATTCAGCCTCAACATACAAATGGCTTTTCTTAAGTTTCTCCTGTTTGCGGTGTTCAGGCTTCATTATTCTTACTTACATCTCAGATGTACTATAGACTCTACACAGCTTCATAATAAAATAACTAAAGATTAAATAAATAAGAATGAAGTTAAACATTGTTACAGTAGAAATACAGATAAGGCGTTTTAAAGCTCTTTTAATAGTATGAGGTATCTACACACTATCTTTAAAATGGACATGTGACTTTTTACTTAAATTATAATAGCTCTACAGTTGATAGAATACATGTCCAAGTCCAACTCTGTCACTTTAGGAAAGCAAGCTGGAGCTGACCACCTGCCCACCACTCAGGCTGCTATAAGCTGAGAAGCTCCGATTTCCAGGTAGGGCTTGGAGTAGAGCCAGTGCTCCTCTAACAGCAGCTCTCTCCTGCATGTTAGAGAGGGTGCCATGCTAAGTCCTCCGTTTGACTTTGTGTCACACCCTGTCCTGTCTCCCCATTCGGTTCAGTCCTGTGTTCATGTTAATTGCTCCCACCTGCCTCTCATCTCCCAATCACCCAAGGTCCCAGCTTCTCCTGTATTTAAACCCTATTGGTCCATTTTGTCTGGTTGGTTCATTGTTTCATTGTCCTGCATGTCTCATTAAAACCCTTTAAATGTTCCTGTCTGCCTGCCTGCCTCCTTCCTCACCCGCGTGTGGATCCTCACCTCCATTTCACTCAACGGCACGCCTGACACTTTGAAACAGCTTGGTTTTAGGCACATCACTCCTACACTAGACACAGACTAATGATCTGGATGGTTCACGTGTTGGATGTTTCACATGTTGAGTGTTAATAGTGACAGTAGAGACCCATGTGACGTTTTGTAAGTGGATACTTTTAATAAATTGTCAACAAAATATAAAAGGTATTCAATAAAATGTAATATTAAATAAAATATGAATGATCAATAACATTGAACCTTTAATATTCAGTTGGTGTAAATAGATACTTTATAAGAGTTTAACACAGAGGCAAAAACAAAGTTTATGAAAATTTCATTTATTACTATATTTCTACTACTAATGATGTTGCAGGACAAATGGTTATAAATGGTGTTTTAAGGTTATATCAACTGAGAAAATGAATTAGCAATGATGAAACATGTTCTTAGATGTTATTAAAAGCCTAAGTGACTTAGAACAGATGGGATGACTGGGTTTATTAAAAAAATCTGGCCAAATGTTTAATGAGGTTTAACAAGTTATCTAAATAATAATGAAGCATCCAATGTCAATGCAGAGTATGGTACCCGTGTGCATTGAGGCTCTTCAGTGATCCGGCTGGCCATGAAGTCGTCTTAGCAAGCAAGTAGTTTGACTTCTAGATAACAAAGATTGTATTCCTCTGAATCTGCATCAGAGATAGCCTCCTGGATCTGCGTATCGGCAGATTCTCAAAATCGAATGACTCGGACTCGAGGGCAAAAAAACCTGATCGGGACATCCCTACCCTCGGAGACAAACTTGGCCTCCCTGATGTCCGTGTCTCCTGGTTCGGTTGGGGCGGACTGAGGTGGAAAGACCTTCTCCCCTTCTTTTTCCACTCCCTGCGAGGAAGAGCAGCTCCTGATGTCCTTCTCATCCACTGTGGCGGCAATGACAAGGGGGTGGTCAGCAGTGTGAAGCTGGTCAACATAATGAAGCAGGACCTGCACCAGCTTCACCTTCTACACCCTCATATGATGACCATCATGTCATCCATCACCCAAAGGTGTAGATGGAGGGCAGGTGTAAAACCTGCTAAAATTGAAAAGGCCAGGAGGTTAGCCAACAGTGTTATGGCTACACTTATTTCTAGCTTGAATGGTGCAGTTGTTGTGTATCCTCACATCAGACATGACAGTCCAGGGACATTTTTGTCAGACAAAGTTCATTTCACAAATGGGGAAATTATATTTTTTTAACTAATATTGCCGATTGTCTTAATGGCCAGCTCCAAAAGCAGTGAAAGACTTCCAGGTGGGAGTCTCACTTCTTTTGAATTTGGCCTTTAGGACAGATTTATTTTCGGACAGACAGGATAAACATATCCCTGACTGTTATAGCTAACGTGTTGTTGATATAATTTATCTATAGCCATAACACTTTTGACAACTCTGTTCTTCCTTCACAACCCAATGTTCCACTCACTCTGCAGCTCTCTGGGCCCCTTTTATTATTTTAAGTTTTTTTCAATGTACCGACAATTTGTGTCCTGTTATTTTATAAAATGTGATGTAAAAAATAAATGTTTTTGCTCAATTACTTGGATTTCTTTGGTTTAGACAAAAAAAAGGAAGGAAGATTCATGTATGCCAAGTTATTTCTACAACAGACCTGTTTGAAGTCCAACAGTTTTTTAGCAGCCAATAGAAATGTGTTCTTTACTAACTTTCCTTGGTTTAAAAATCTTACTAAAATAAACCTTAGAGGCTGCCGTATTGCAAACCCAGTCATACTTGTTATGTAAATATTAGCTTTGTGGATATTTGTAGATATTTTTTACATATAGACATTTGTGTGCTAAAAAAACATAAACTTAAATAATTTGTCATTCTTTATTGAAAAACAACAAAATACAGGTATACAGAAAGTGTGGGAAAATGATAATGTGAAAGTATTGATCTTTAAATGTAATACTATTTATCTTTAAAAAGAAAAACTCTAAAAATGTCCTGTACAGCAGCATGACAGAAGAATGGTGGTCCAGAATGGTGTCTGTCATCTGTCAGAATGTGCTGAACAGATTTGCTCTATCTGCTCTGATTGATGCAAGACAGACCTAAATGTGAAACATTCTATGAATGATGAACAAAGCGTTTAAATGAAAAAATAAATCAAACATTTTAATAAAAATAGGGGGCATGAATAAGTTACTGTTTTTAAGATTTTATGAGGATATTTGAGGCACAAATTAAGCACATTTATTTGAAGGCAAGGGATGACAACGATGTATACATGCTGAATGATGCAGGTGATGTGGTGATAATATTTCTCTGCAGCGGCATTCCATACTCTGGATCACGCCACAATAGAAACACTATTTAAAAAGTGGGTGGGACTAAAGGGTCAGGCCTCACATTGGGTCAGGTTATATCTTTCTGAGAAGAGTTTCAGTGTTTGTATGGAATATTTGTGTTGAATCAACACATTCTCACTCCCAGCGTGTCAAAAACAAACGCTTGGTCAGCCACCCTCCACGTCAGACCCCTGACGCCAAAAGTGCCCTTTTTCGTTACTTATGTGCGAAAAGTGGTGTTTCCCTTATTTGACTGCAGATCCCAATGCAGCGTTACACTGACGCGATGGGATGTTCGAAGCCAGGGCACCAAACAAGCTCTTTGTACCTTACCCTAACCTTATCCTCTTATTTAACCTTCCCCTCACCCCTATCCTAACCTTAACCATCTTGCTAGCGAACACGTTAGTGATGTGTCGATCGCTCTATGAAGTGAACGGCGGGAGCCGCCTCGTCATTGGTCGAGTTTGGGCCGAGCCAACGCGAGGGGGAGGTTTCAACTACCACGGTGGCGGTTAAAAGTAGAGGGTATGTGTAACCTCCCCCTCGCCAGATGGTATGTTCTAACATTCCCCTTGGGCGGCAAATACAAAAATTGGCAGTCAGACTCTGACTGTCAGAGTCAGAATGCATGGGAAACAAATGCTTGGTCACAGTGAGAGTAACGTTTTAGGTAGCAAGAGGGTTAAGGTTAGGATGAGGGAGAGGGGAAGGTCATAAATAGTGAAACGTTAAGGTTTAGTTGCGGTTAAACGAGCGGGTTCGGTGCCGCATCGGTTAAATGAGGGTTAAGGTTAGGATGAGGGTGATGGGAAGGTTATAAATAGTGAAACGTAGGTG